AAACACACAGAGCGAAAGAAGACAGGGAGAAGGCAGGAAGGAGAACGAAATTTGCATAACCAATCAAAATAATGGGTGGCGTAGTAGCATCTTATCATCCTTCAACTTCTTCGTTCAATTTCTCTTCTGCAAACAGAAAAAAGAGACGGGGTGGGTGGACGAGTGCAAGAGGAATAGAGAGTGAGAATGCGTAGCGACATACAGGGATGGATTAGAGAATGCTACAACGCCATATGGAACGTCGAGATCGGTTGCTATTGATCTTTTGGACATCCTGACGAGGAGCATTGGAGGCGACCTGAAAAAACAATGCAGTGCAAAGTCATTTTAAAAAAAGACCCAGCAAAACTCAATCATGAATCATAAGATATGCACGTTCGAGAAATATGGGAAATGTTGAATAGGCTTGGAAAGCGCATCGTATTTACATTGACCTCTCGAATTTATAAGGACTTCAAGCTGTCTGTCCACAACGAAGAAGTCTCAATATGTTTTACTTATTCCCCTTCCGGAGAACAGATAATAAAAGAGAACGTCTTTGAGCACTTATGATATAAAGACACTGGCAAAAAATAAAAATGTGCACATCAACAACTTCCTTGCCACTTTCTCATATATCGGTACTTGTAAGAAATACGTGTTAATAAGGAAGTCAATAACCAAATAAAATTGTGGTAGGAAGCACTAATCCCACGCCGCAATAAATTCCTTGATTTCTAACTATCAGAACATGGAATTAATGAATGTATATGAAATGATGTTAATTATCCACGAAGCCAATTTCATTTGCAATACAACCGTCTCATTCCAGACTATACCATCGTGCATGTTAAGAGGCGATACCTACCTACGTCCTACGTGCCCGAATTGGGTAATCGTTGCGATTTCTGAGTAATTCTTCTTTTCTGGTAGTCCCACAAAATATTAAAATGAGCCACACACCTTGGTATGTCAATTATCCAATGCTCATATCATTTGAATACTACTACTATGGGACTAACGAGTACAACAGGAAAATGGTTCCTGCTTGCAACCACTTAAATTACTCTGAACTGTAAAGCAAGCTACTAAATTAAGTAAATTTAACCCGTCTGACGCTCCCGAATTAACTTAATTCCTTAGAATATTCACGGCTGAGGAAAACGAATGTCTGCTTGAACCAAATGTATAAAACTTTGAGCTTCAACTTGGATGTCATTGACTTTGCCCCTTCCCCCCCCCCCCCCCCCCCCCCCCCCCCCCAACCCCCAACCCCTCCTCTCAGAGAAATGTAGCATTGAGAGTTGCGTATTTACCGTTTAAAAATAAGATCGAAATTGTGTTTGGCTAACAGAAGACGATTAACGAGAAGCTAATGTTTCACCTTTCAAGTAAACTTCCGGTAGAACGCCACTAAATTCTACCGGAAATACAAACTTCCATGCCTTAACAAAGGAATTCTTTTAATTAAAGAGACTCTGAGAGACTATGGAGAGTGATCTATAGAATCACCATTGAATTTTCACTCGTAATGATCAGAAACTCCAGCTACCTATTGACCATTAATGTTGATATTTTCCAAAATCTGGAATATTAAAGCCCACTATACTAGCGAACAAAATTAAGGTTAATATATGCTCGCCTTAAAAAAGAGCAAAAGCGATAGTTGTGCAAGAAAGTTTTAAAAAGAACTTGACAATTATTGATAGGGCCCAGAACTGGATGGCATAAAAAATCTATATATAAATTTATTTCCTTGAACAATGGGCTTTACGATTACCATTTTTCCTTGATCGCAACTGGAAATGAGATGTTTTGGTTGGCTAACCAAGTAGCCAATCAATTCCATAAGCATACTGCCGCTTCATTTGAATTACAAGTTCTTTGCCCTCTACCTACTGTATTCGAACGACTATCGACGGCCTTTTTCTAATCGCTATGAAGCGTAGTAAAATAAATAGTTACCAATATGCATAGTGAATCCAATGGATGAAAAGAATTTTCAGAGTTTTCCACCTGCCCAAAAAACTCGTGTCGCATTCCCCTAGTACTTCCAACATTCCCAATAAATACCAACCCCTAATATCCTTTCAGGAAATCGGGAGACACTAAGTGTATGTGTTTGTCGAATACATTCGCGTATTAACAAGGACGTGCGTGAGACGAGACGAGACTGCAAGTTACTCCATGATATCGATTTCTTTCCCATTATAATTCTTTCCATCCTGCCCCGAAAATATATGAATCAGAGCATGAAACACATCCCTCTCTGTTTTTCAACCATAATAAACAGAAGAATCTAGGGGACAATTCCAACTACTATGCAGTTAATCTTCTTTTAGATAAGGCATATTAGGGCTGGTATTTAAGCGACTCTAGAAAGGGCCTTTAGTCACCATAACAACTTCATACAGTTGACATTCCAATAGCTTGCAGAAGGCGCTAATATTCTGCTGCAAAAAAGTTTCAAGTAATTAACAAAACAGCAGGGAAGCCAAATAGGAGGAAATTTTAAGAGACATCGTTATCGCCCCCAATTTATTGCAGGTACATAACTTATCAATAAATGGTGGTATGATTGAAGTGAGGAAATTTTAATTAAAGGAAATGCAACGCCATTGTGACCTGCCCTTAGAATACAATGGGAGCGGATCATCTCTAAGTTATTCTAGAAAGAAGAAGACAAATTTCTGAATCTTACAGCCGACAGTCATTTTAAACATGAAATAGATGTCGATGGCATGAAAGTAACTGACTAATGCGCTACAATTTAATTGGTTATTACGAATGGCAAATGACCTGAATCACTGGCAAACACACTTGAAAAGGTCAAGGTGGTTGCAATGCTTGCTGCACACTCGAATAAAGTTAGATAAACAAATAACGTCATGGTAATCACTTGGCAATAGAAAGGTGTTTAGTAAGAAATTAAGATAAGGATCCCAATGTATTGTAATGAATACTATCAATAAAACCGCATTGAAGATACCAAGCAAAAAAAAACAAATGGAACGTATGGAGGAAAAAACTCACCGTTTTAGCTTCAATTTTCTGTTTTATACACCTGGCCAATTGCGTGAAGGCAGCTATTACATTCTCACCCTCCTTTGCGCTTGTTTCGAAGAAGTCGATGTTATTCTGCCTGGCAAACTGGAGGGAGAAAAGACAAAAGAAGTGTTGGTGTGATCAACCAGTATAGATGGAATTTACACTAAAAATACATCTCAAATGAGAATAAAGCGTCACAGCGACAACTCAACGCATCCAATTCACGAAAATAGCCAGGAGCAAGTTGGAATTAACTTTAAATAAAAATTAACGATCTTATCTTTTTGAGAAGACGTGGAGGGCGATCAACACTACTAATCACATTACAAATTTCACATCATATTCCCATGTGAATTGTTGAGTCATAGCACACACTTATAAGCATTAAAATCGTATATTTCCTCCCTTATTCAATCATTACTCTGTATAAAGATTTCTATAACAGGCTGAATTTTCAGTAGAACAAATAATTCGAAAACTTAGTGTTCGTGTGATTAAATGCCATTATTAATGAAGTTAATGAATGCCCACACTGACCAATGACTATACACGAAAGAAAGTGGTCTATTTATTAAACAAGGAACTCAATCACCATCAGCATTCGATCAATTCGTCATGACGAAAAGGTGGTTAGAGCGGTTATTGTTTTTTTAGAGTCATGAATTCATCTAATCTTCAAAAAGAGCATGTAAATATTGCTAGTGTAGAGAAAGTGTTCCAGACAGACCTTTGTTAAGGAATAGCAAGTAGACAAGTGAAAATAAAAGGGCTTAAAGCTCACGTTTATGAAGGCTTGAAATAAGGGTCAAGGAGGCCAAAGATTACAAAGGGTGAGAGGGGGGGGCCATCTGCCTCATGCCCACCCAACTCAACTAGGGAGTACCAATCCAGGACTATGTAGTCTTATCAGCCGTTCAGCTTTAGCCTGGAAAAAGATAACGAGCATACTTCTAACTTCATTACCTTCTGATCACAGTTGGATAGTCAGCAAAGCTAGTGGCGTATCATTTCACGTTAAAAAAGGATTAGGATTGATTTATGAACTTAAGTTAAAATTTACAATTCATCAACATTTTGGTAACAGGCGTAAAGTTTGGCGAAAGTGAATAAAAATTTAACTGCTATACGCGCCTCTATGCTTGGAAGTATGTTAATCACGTCTGGAGTGAAAGCATTTGTAAATCTTTAATTAAAGAGGTGTGGTAGAAATAAAGAACAATTAGTCAAACGCTAATAGCGGTAACAAAGAATAGCATAAAACGATATAAAGACGACCTCAAACTTGAAAAAAAATCCCTAAACCTTTAAGCTGAGGAATTGCGATACTGTTACTAACGATCATCGACAAAATATGAGCTAAGTCGAGTAAACTAATCAAAGAAAATGAGGATATTAACGAGCTGTCGAGGTATACCACAACTGTACTTGACCACAAAACAAACTGGATAAAAAATACCACGATCGATTTTCGTCACTTAAACCTCAGGCATAGACACTAACATAAACAACGCATCATCCAGAGAGTGCTAGCCAAAACACCATGTATTCATAAAAATGAGCCAGTGTAAATTTTATTGACATTGACCAATGTGAACAAATACAGGAGAATATGAAACAGGTGAAAAAGAGAAATTCGTTTCATTTAAATCACCAAATGATTAAGCGTCCATTGAAATAGGAAGTGATGTCAGAGTCAGCTAAAGGAGTGGGAGAAAAAAGAAACCGAAACTAAATCATTTTTCTTGAAACCCAAACAAACGGAGTGGAAAAAAAATAAATCAAAGAGATATGTTTCCTCATATGAGTGTACTGCGTGCCTACTGTTTCCGTTTAATGTAAAGAGGCAACTCAGTCGAGAAATTGATAGGAGAAAAAAACACATGGAATAAAATTCACGCATGAGGATGATAGGTGAAAGTGCGACCATTAAATATAAGCAAATTTTACCAATAAAACATGTGACAAAACCGAAAATAATAAAAAAAATGTTAGAGAACTCTGGCTAGTCCAATATCAAGCAGAGTGCATTAAATAGACGAACACAAAGTGGAACATCTCTCCACCCGCGACAAAGACATGAAAATCTGTGCACAGAAAGGTAAGGGTGATGGAGGCTTACAATACGGAAACTAAGTGACCAGAGAAGGCATGCACAGAACAGCATTTATTTTCTGCACAGACAGCCGGGCAATACGCACACAAAGATTGGCACACAGCCCTTGTATGTATACTGAGGAGCGAGCCAGTATGTGCTTGCATTTTTTCTCTCATTTTGACTACCCTTAGCTCTCCAAAGCGTCACAGGAGAATTGTGCTGCTACGGTGTAGCAACAATGGCGCAAAATAATGACATAATAGACCATAGTGAACAGTAAATAAGTCACCGACACTTTATCCAATATTAAGCATGAGAGTCGGGCACTTTTAAAGATCGTCTGGTTCCATCGGGTAAAGGTAGTAAAATCGTGGAATTCAATTACCGATTTCCTTTCTACAAACGGGGTTTAAATATGAATGTCCATTCTACGTGTATAATTGTCTCATTTATAAGAAAATTATCACTCAGAGGGAGAAAACATAAGAAACAAACAGGTGACGGATGCATAGCAAGAACAACCAGTAGTTATTCTCTTCGAGAACAAGATCTCTTCAATGCTTTCGAAAAGGAAATGCCTGAAGATTTGAATATTTCTAACAACCTATTTCCACAATCACTCGTAAAATCGATAAATTACACATTCCATAAACCAATAACAATACATTTCAATAAGCATAACGAATAGAACCAGAACAAAATGCCTTTTTGATTCCTATTCGATGATCAAAGTTGGTATTTAACAGACAAGTATTGATTGCATTTAAAAAGGAACAGTCTAGAAGAGTAAACAGTAGTGTAGATTAAGGCGAGCTATCCTATCATCCTTTTAATTATTATTTTTCCTTTTTATCCACATTTATCACAAAAAACTACACAGCCCTTCATCAAATAGAAGCGTCACGCTTGCTTGAAGTGCGAGAGCGAGAATCATTCATGCACTCTATATATTCATGGGATTAACAAGTCTCCAAAAAAAAATAATTTGTAAATCGATAAGAAACTGAAAATGAAGGAATTTTAATTAAAAAAATTATACCAGATTGAATTATCAAATAAATAGTAATAGAAACAGGTATTCATGTGCTATAAAATGGAAGATATAAAACGGAAAATATATTTGACCACATAAAATACCACACGAAAACAAAAAAATAAATATAACAAATTAAGCATACTTCCTGGGCTTCTTCCTTCGTAACTTGTCGTTGAGATTCCATATCACACTTGTTTCCAAGCAGCATCTGTTCCACATCGGAGTTTGCATGCTGAAAATATCAAGAGGAATATATGGATAAGGAAACGATTTTATTAAAAATATTTCAACTGAAGGTAAATTGAACTAACATCGACAATATTACGAAGCCAGTGTTTAATGTTATAGTAGGTTTTTGGTTGTGTTATATCGTATACTAACATAATGCCCTAAAAGTGAGGTTAACAATCAATGAGGCAAAAAAACCATTGCTCCCCGATAATATGCTGTTGTAATTGTTCGAAAACGCTCTTGACCGGCTGTATCCCATATTTGGAGTTTGATTTTCTTTCCATCGACTTCTATTGTCCGTATTTTGAAATCAATACCTAAAAACAAAGCTCGCATTGAATAGTTTTTATAAGCTATTTGCGTGCCTAATGAAACATTGACGCAATTTTCGCCATAAAGCCAAAAAAATATTTCAGGGAACAAGATTAAATATAAAACAAATTCAGAAAAAAATCACAAACCAAACCGATGAATAATAAATATAAAATTATGCGAACACAGTAGATGAAAGCATTACATGGAGCTTTTACGTTAAGAAAGTGGAAGAGAAAGTGGACAAATCAAAGATAAAGTGGCGTACCTATTGTTGCAATAAACGTTGCGTTAAATTGTTCTTCTGTAAATTGGAAAAGCAAACTTGTCTTTCCTACACCGGAGTCACCAATCAATAACAATTTAAAGAGATAATCATAATTTTTAGTCATTTTTCCTAATTTGGTCTCAATACAAACAGTCCGGCACTTGTAGAAAATTATTAGGTTAAACAAACAAAAGTCATAAAACAAATAATATCTTTTACGTATTTCTAAAAAGTTTCCATTAGATTAGGCAAACCAATATATTCATTAAATAAAATTAACAAAATTACCTTTATTAGGTAATGATATGCCAACGTATATTAAATTTAGACTTTCACATTCCAAGTGTGGAATGATAACCAAAACCTTACCCACGTCCACAATAAAAGGCTTGTATATCTGTGTTTTGCTTTTGTTATTTTTTATTGTCTAGAATTAAGCATTGTCTATGAGCTTTTCGAGCATCCAGCTTCAAATTATTCTCTCCGATTTATTATTATTCATTACTCTATTACATCTATTTATCTGACGAATTAACTAAAATATTGGGGCATAAAAAAATTGATTATATTAATTTAGGTGACGAACGTCATATTAATTTGGATTTTTGATAATAAACACACCCACTGGCATTGAGGCTTCATATTGATGACTATTTGAACTTAAGATTCCTAAAAAATGTGTAAAACGCGTTTACTTTTAGTATAGGTTTGGACACTTACTTTTGATAGTTTGGGACCTACAATAAAGGATTGCAGCTTGCTTGCATCTTATTTGGCGTTAATTGTTGAAAAGTCTTTTAGCCTTTCTTTATTTGAGACTGAAGCTTGACTCTCCCCATGCGGGTTGTGTCATTCCGAATGCACAATATGCGTGTACTAGACACCACAGTAGCATATATATATATATATATATATATATATATATATAT